CCAGCCCTCACGTCAGTGTTTGTTAGCACATTCATAAGAGAATAATGTAGAGAAACAAAGTGAAAATTGAGTAAGTTAAAGCTAGCCTTTGCTAGATGATTAAGACCAAGATAAAGCAAGACCCATGCAACAAGCATTGTAGTTTTTGGATCTGATAAGGTCAGTGAAATCCACTCAGGATTTATGCTGAGATCCTGTATCTTTGTCAGTGTCAGATTGTAGAACCTTTGTCAGTGTCAGATTGTAGAACTTTGTCAGTGTCAACCATGTGGATGAGTCATGGCCATTGCTTGGCCAATGTGCTCTCCGTGAAAGCCTGAGAGAATGTTTTTTTTCCATGTGACTCTCCTTAGGCACACTCTACATCATCAATCACTTTCCTCTTTGGCCCCATAATCTCCTTGATCAGAAAATTTAGGACACTACTGAGTTACATGGTGTTACTGTACAAGTTCTCATATGTCCTGAGTCTTAATTGACCTTGGAAGGTTAAGCTCAAAATGTTGGCTTTCCTTGTGGTCCTCCTTTTTATCTAATTTTGGTCTGCAAACTTAGGTTGCTAACCCTCTAGAAGAGAAGATTCTTGCTATTACCATACAACCTAGGCTGTTAAACTTCCAGCAGAAAAGTATAAAAACGAAGTATAAGAAGTAAAGCCACGGTTTTATGCTAAGCTATAAGGGACTGAGGTCAACAATTTCTGACACTGCCAGTGAAGCAGAAGACCCAATACTATTATGGACTACTGGACTCTTTTAGAACATTTTGCTGAGTTAACACACTTATAATATTCAAATAATGGAACTAAACAAAAAAAGAGTATACAGATGAATGTCCATTTTGTATCTTTGTATTCAAAATGGTTAGGATAGATACATAGTTACATTCTCTTAATGAATAGAAGGATTTATTCTAATAGAGTTTGTAAGTAGGATATCATGTCTGCATCTTGTACATAAAATAACCACTAGGAAGAATGTATGCAATGTGTTATTTTTTGAAACTGTCATACCAATTTGGTTTGAAATTATCTCATTGCTATTTGTTTATCAATAAAATTATGGAAAAATAAATATTTTTTTTTAAAAAAGCTACCCTTTGATAGCAACCAGAGGAACATTTGGAGATTGTGGTTTGGACAGTAAGAAATTAAGTGTACCATTTCCAAGACATGTGTAATTTTGAAAATTGGTTGATATCATTGCTTTGATCTAGTTATATTAAAGTAAGCTTTGCATCTATGTAAAATATTGTGTGTTCACAGACTAAGAAGAACTGATGATATCGAGTGCAAAAAGAAAAAAAATTCAAGAAGTAAGAAGACTGTAAAGTTGAAGAGATCCATGACTATTTCTTCAGAAATATCTGTAGTATGTAAATCAACCTATGTACTTATCTACTATGGGCAAGAACTAAAGCCATATTTGCCTCTACTGGTGCTAGCAACAGATACAAGATTAACATTTAAAAAACATTCTCAGAAACCACTTCCTTTGTCATAAATTTGATGGGTAAAGTAAATGGATAAATCAAGCAAAACACCTAATATATAAATGCAAAAGTCAACCATGTCAAAGTATCATTTTCAATCATATTATCTGCCCATTTTCCCAAGTTTTGGTAGTCATCTCATTTTAAGCATTTATTGTTCTTTTCAATTTTGCTAGGTAAAACCCTAAAGAAATATTTAGATGGTAATTAACATATGGCTAAAACTATCTCAGGAAATACGAAATGATAGATTAAAATGTGCCACTAGGACCTGTTTTAAAATGAAAGGAAGGCAACCTACTGATAAAAGTATATTTCTTTTCTTTAAATGCACATGAAAATATTATAAAATCTCTACTTAAAAATTACAAAGTAGTGTCTCTTGAAGAAGGAAAAATATTTTCCTCCTTTTCTACAAATCAAAGTGCACAAAGTGTGTTGTTCTTTGTAGAATTACTTGAACGTGAGCTCTAAGGGAACAGGATTCACTGCCTCGTTCATTACTGACTCTCTTGAATACAACACAGCTCATAATTGCCAATTAGGAAATACTTCTGAGTGAATACAGTATGCACAGACTATAGCGTACTTGGCACAGGAATAGAGGTCCATCTGCCTCTACAAATGATTGTACATGCTTACAAAAAACAAACGTAAATAATGGCAAGCCAGTATTTCATTAACACCTAGGAAAAGGGCAACACGACTATTTTTATAGTTTCTCAACCACCATTTATAAAACATTGGAATTCTGCTAAAGAATGTATAATCACTATGTAGCACATTTTAGTAGAGGAATAAATATATTTGAAATGGCCAAAGCTGTCAGCCTCAGGTTGCTGGAGTTCGAACCTCACACCTCTCCAGCTGGCCAAATAGTGCCCTGAAGGCATTCGAGGAACAAAAAAAAAAACACCTTAATATGGGTTCCATGGTGTAATGGTGAGCAATCTGGACTCTGAAATGGCTAACAACTTCTTAAGCCAAGATAATAAGATTATTTGAAGGGACTATACTAGGCCTTCATGTTAGAGAAAGAAGGAGTCAAAGGATTAGGAAGAAAATTTCTATTGCTATATTTAAAAGTGCCTCTAAACTTTCATTTTTTATTCATTCGAAAACAACTATTTATATAGAAAATTACAGATCTACTCTTTGTTATGTAGACTTTGGGAAACTTCAGCTAATAAGTGAGCTGAATTTATTTAGTAACAGGATATATTAAATTTCCAAGCAAAATACTGAAAAATGCTTAGTTAAGAATATTTAAAGGCATGACACTTTCAGACTATGGACCATGCAGCTTCAATAAGAGTCTGTAGATGCTGTTCTCTGTCCAACTACAGATTAGTCCAAACCTTGCCAAGGTAAATAGTACAGCCTGAATACTTCTTTGCCAACTAATTGGTAAAGCTGACGGAACCAACAATCCAAAGAATAATGAAAAATACATTTCTAATACATTCTTTTCTCTCTGAAGTTGTACAGGAAAAAGGTCACTTACTAGCTTACCTTTTGGTGCCTTTATCTTTTTCTTGAGTGCACATTTTTTATGCACTGTGCCCTATTTATGCATTCTTCAATAGCATCTTTATTTATGACTTTGTGAATCAACATCATTGTGATAGGAAGCAAAAGTCACTTAGCTAATTACACATACTTGATAAGCTGCATAATAATAACCACTGCTGTATTGCACGGTAGTTGACGGCATATAAATTATTTCAGCTTTTTCAAGTGGGGAGAAACAAGAGACCTTTATAGTTGTTCAAAAGCACCCCTGTGGCCTTGATATTCATCTTCAGAAGTTCATTGTGCTTTTAATCTGAATGCTAGCATCAATAAGAAAATAAAGGTTAATTTCCATTCTACATATATTAGCAAGAAATGTTAAAAAAGAGTCAATGTAATGAAAATACTTCTGATCCATCATTGAGGTTATTATTTTAGAAGTGTGTTCCATGTAACACAGTCCCAGTAAAACAGAACAGTTTAGACAATCCTGGCCCCAGCAAGATGCCGCAATGAAATCTGACTTGGTCCAGCCAGGAGATTAGAAGTGCATAGAGAGATAAAATGCGCAGTACTAGAATATTAATATGACTTCTGCATGAAGATTGGAAATTCTATAAAGTTATGAATAAGGTCAAAACAACTCATAGATGATTTTCTGCCATAGAAATTCATACTCTCCTATGAGTGATTTACTGAATGTTATATAAAAATGGAGTGTGGACAAGCTCCATTCAGATGCGAGCTTGCAGCTGTTACTGTCTACATTTGCTCAATCGGGCTAGAGGATGATTGGAAGGTTGATTTAATTGTAGCTTCTGAATCAGATTCTTCTCTATGTTTTAAATTGTTTAACATAAATATAAAAATGTTGAAGTAATTTTAAGACTGTAAATATCTAACATAAAATCTAAAAATCTCATTCTCTTCAGAAAGACAAACTGAAAATGAATAAACCGTTAGAAAAAATACCATTATCTGATCATGGTTATTGTCCAATATTTTTTTGAAAAATTTAGTTTTTTAGGTAAGAACAATGTTCACAAGATATTCAGAAGGGGATAGGAATTAACAAATGAAAACCAATGTTATGACTGCACTGATAAAGTCAAAGAGAAGCACAAGTCAACATCTGTTCAGGAGGAGTTCAGAGCTCTGAAAGTTGAGCAGGTGCTAAGGCAGCAGCATCTGGGATCCTTGCAGGCAACTCAAAGGCTAAATATATTTGTCTCTATAAACAAAGTGCAGCAGAAATTTCTTTCTTTCTGATGCTACTACCACTATAACACAAGGCACCTCCAGTGAATTTTCTTAAACTTATCTACTCAGAGCTTTCTTTATCTGTCTTTCTGCTCCTAGACAAACTTAATCAAATTCCAAAAATATCCTAATGAATCACTTCCCAGCATCAGCAAATCATCCTTAGGGAGAGTATCTTTTTCTTCCTCTGTAAACTTTTAACCCATTTTTTTTTTAATTTTCACTTTATACATACCTCCTTTTCTACAAATTTTCTTGCCGGGCTTTCTGGCACATTCCTTGGATATTCTTTTTACTGAAAAATGAATAGAAGACTAGAAAATAACATGGCGCTCCATCATAGACCGCCGGAACATGCAACACCACTATCTAACTCAATACACTCCTGCATTTGACTTAGTGCGGAGGATCCCCGATTCGTTGAGCCTGCACATGCAATGAAGAAATGTTGATGCATCTTCTCAGAAGTCATTTGGTAGGAAATGGAAACTAGGAGCCCATTTCTACCTAATTATACGTGCTGTGGAGGAAAGAAAACGAGTAGGCACAGGAAAAAATAAGAATAGATACACTGACACACATAAACAAAAAGAGCAGCATGCAAGCATGTAAAATATGTCTACATGCCAACAGGAAAAGCCATGCATACTACCAGTACACATGAATTCATATTGTTAGAGCTTAGAATAGAAAAAATAAGTAAATATATCTTCCTGTTTTTCCTGCAATAAACTCACCATCCTCGGTTGGGACATATATGTTTAAATATAGGCAGTCTTCACTCTGGTCTTGTACATACGATGAAACTACATCCAAGTTATTAGTAAACCACACAGGAAGCATGACTTCTGGCAATCTGCCATCGATAATATTCTGGGGACACACAGGAGCAAACTGAGTAGCATTCCTGATATCTGACCAGGGAGACGGTGGCTCTGGAGGCTGAAAACGATGTTCTCCTGTTGGTGGAGCTGCATAGGGAACCCCAAGAAACTGAATAACAGGTCCCAAAATTTCATTATTGAGTTCTTTCTTAAGCCCTCTTATCTTGCCGAAGTTGGTAGTCACCAGTGGGTCCACATCATCCAATTTTTGTGAAAGCACATGGGCAGCCTGAAGCAAACTTCCCAACACACAGAGAGTCAAGGAGGCACCCACTCCCCCCTGTGCCAAGCACGCCATCACTGCTCTCCAGACATAATTTGGCCACATGCACCTGGGAAGTGCCATAGTCCCACATTAGTTGTCTAGTTGTCTGGTTTCAGTGAGACAAATGTATTTATATCCACTTGAGAAAGGCTGTACTGTAGTAGATATGCCTTCAATTTTTCAAAGATGAAGTTGTGGAACAAAGCTGAGAAAGCTTTTCATGCAGCACGTATCTTCCATTGATTTCACATGTATTGAAGCAACATCTTCAATCATCACTATTTATCAGACCATATCCTATTGACCATTCTATTTTCCATAGTAGCAATATGGCAGAGTGGCCATTGACTGTAAATTTCCTTCTTATAAATCAAATCCAGTTAGCTGCAGGTCTATATCCTAGAGAAAATAAAAATAAATCATTAGTACAAGCAACCTAAAATAGACAGAGTGATAACTAGCTGTTTTGCAAGATATGGAAATCCACTAACAGTGGCTAGAGTCTGGTGAGTTAAATACAATTATGGAAAAATTATGGTTTGAAGTGAGTTGACAGATAAAATAACTGATTATTAGATTACTGAGAGACTTGCCTACTGACTTTGTATATGCTTAAGGGGAAGCAGACCTTGTCAAATATATAGTTTCAAGAGCATTTAATAGTAAAGTATTTTTAAAACACTAAAGTTTGTATGTAAAATTTTCCTTTTATTGATAGTTCAGTCACATGAAATAACTACACGATTAATCAAAAGACAGGCTTAAAATTAGAATTAATATTAGAAAAACATTTTTTGAAAAATATTGTATTGTATTAATGGAACATAAAATCTGTCAGAAAACACACACACACACGCACATGCACGCACACACACACACACACACACACACACACGCAAAGTAATTCCCAGGCCCACATATGTGGCCACATAAGAACTGCTCTCATTCAACCAGGTCAAGTTCCTTACTAGGTTTCAAGATTTGCATGAAATATTGGTTGTAAAACTCCTATCTTAAATTTAGACTCAAGAACATAAAGGAGAAATGGCAACTGGCATAATAAGAAAAAGCAAAAGAAATTGACATCATTTTTGCAAACTAAAATTACTCTACCATCTAAACATATTTTTATGTAACAATAAATTTGCAAAGTGCAAATGAATTTGAGTCAAATTGAATATATTTTAAATTACAAATTATAGTCTCAATGTCTGTTAGAGATCAAAGAAAGAATTTTCAAAAGTGTGGTAATTTAAAAGAACAATCCTATCTCATCATGGCATCTTGCATATTAACACTAATCAAACATCTAACACTGTTTGCTCAGTTCAACTCATCTTCAGGAGAAATTGTAACATTCAGTGCAGTACCATTCATTGGGTAATCTCACATTGACTGTCAAACAGCATGAAGCTCAGAAAATTTGTCCTTTCTTGTTCCAGCAACCTTTTAAAGTGCTTACTTTGAAAAATAATAGTTTTGATTTGCATTAGAGATGGTTATATCTTGTCATGTTATGGAAAAATTCCTGAAGAAGTGTTGGTCTGGCAGTGAAATTGTCCTGACTTTGTGTTATTTAAAAAGAGATTGAGAAAACTATATAGGGCAGAAGGAGATTTGGGTTCTGGCCTGGTGTTCCTTTAGCTCTCAACAATCCATCACAGAAGGCAGTAAGGAGATACATGTCTTTCTTCAAGAACACAGTAGTTGTATTAATTCTTATGCTTCCACTGTGCAAGTGCATTAAAACACAAAGGACAGGCTTAGACACATCCTTCTCCCTTTCCAGACTCCAGAAGTCATGGAAGACTTAGTTATTCTTGTGTTGAAACATGATGGGCCATAGCATACCTATACATCTCTCCCATTTACGGTTTTTATTTAAATAGCATCACTTTGACACCTAAAAGAGAGCATTATGGTGATGCCTTAAAAATCCTCACCATCATTTTTATTCAGAATGATTCTCAGGTACAGTGATTTCTAAAACTTTTTCATATAATTTCATAAATAACAAAAATGCAGACATGGTATCTTGTCTAAACAATATTAGTACAAACCTTTCTTCTCATTGAACTAATAGAAGGTAGGTGTATATCTATCCTAACTATTTTGTATATACATTTTTTTCACTACAAAATGGTCCTTTATTTATATCCCCCTTTTTTGTTTTGTTTTGTCAGAGATGGGTGTTCCTTGTCATTAGAGAAGATGTATTTGGAGAAGTCTTTAAGGGACCTTTTCATAGTTGATGCCAGTTCAAATATTGTAGGTGCTTGAACTCAGGAACATAACCCAATATACTCCAATAGTTCATAATAGTAGTGGGTTATCAGCAGAACTGACAATTGTCTGAAGTTGTTGACTTGAGCCATTTACAGCTCAGCATATAAATATAGCTTTACTTTTTATACTTCATGATTGCACTTATATTCTGCTGGATGGTTAATACCAAATTAAAGCAAGTCCTATATAAGTAAAAATATAACATTTGTATCTGACAAGGTCAGTCAAATCCCCTCAGGATTTACCCTGAGGGGTCCATGTATAAGACCTTGTAGATCTTTTATCAGTGTCAGCCATCTGGATGAGCCACGGCCGTTGCTTGACCAATTTGCTCTGTGGGAAAGCCTGAGAGAATTTTTTTCTCTCTAGGTGACTCTCCTTAGACACACTATGCATTATCAATAATACACAATCAATTTCCTCTGTGGCCACATAATCTCCTTGATCAGAAAATTTAGGACACCACTGAGTTACAGGATATTACAGTATAGGTTCTTTTATGTCCGGAGTCCTCACTGACCTTGAAAGATTAGGGCCAAAATATTGACTATCCTAGTAGCCCCTCTTTTTCTCTAATTTTTGGTCTGTAAACTTTAGCTGTTAAACATCCAGAAGACAATCTTAATGATGTTATTACACTGTAACAGAGGCAATTGAGTTTAACATTACTATCTGTGTGAATGTCAAATGCCTTAGACATAATATGGAACTGCTATTGTCCAACAACCATGGTAATTCTAAACTTTAAATCACTATAGAATGTAAAAAAAATACTATGAAGTCAACAATATGCAATGTATTAATTATTGTAACTGTCCTACTAGCCTACTTTGAAACTGTTTCATTGCTATTTTTTCATATTAAAATTAATAAAAAATTATTAAAAAAAAGAATTGAGACCAGCAGAAAATTTCCCTTTAAGCATTAATATGAACAAAATATGGTTATAACTATCTGGAGATCTATTTCACAGGATATTTGTTTCTTAAGAAATGACATTTGATGAAAATAAACTTTCTTTAAAGTAAAAAAACCCCAAAAGTACAGCCTTTTTATTAACAAAATTACTTCTTATACTAAAAATGCTAAAATATGTGAAGAAAAAAGACATTCTTGTTCCTAATTAATATGAACTATTTTAAAATAAATTTAAAAGATGTGGTATTTTTTAAACAATGAAGTATTACTCAGCTATAAAAAAGACAAACTTGAGGCCTTTATAGGCAATTGGATACAACTAAAGACTATAGTCAAAGCTTGTGTAAATAAGGAGAGGAAGAAAGATTGAACGGAAGGCACACAAATGGGAAAAAGAAGAAGCACTGTATATCACATACAGGTACAAATTCCCTCTGATGAATGCTATTATTATGTATATGTAAAAATGTATCAATAAATTTTTTAAAAGAAAAATCATAAGTGAAATAAATCAGACCCACACATGTAAATATCATTGTCTCCTTAGTGTAATAATCTGAAAGAATAAATAAGACCTGAAAGGTATAATAGATATAGTAAAATGGAAAGAAACTGAACATAAGGCTTAAACAATGAAGATGAGGGAAAGGAGAAGGTATAGGAAAAAAGGGAGGGGAAAGAACCGTGCAAGTAGGTATACAGGATGGCTGAGATGATTACATTAATAATTTCTATCAGTTGTTTTGAAAACATCAGTTAATGTTTAAAATTTTCACCTTGACTAACCCTTGATGCTGATGTCTGCAACCTAAGCAACCACATCAAGAGCGGCAATGTGTAATACAAAAACCTCTCATCTTGGTCTTCTAAATGTGTACTATTAGTATTGTCTTATTGATTATTATTAAACTCTCTTTAAAATAAAATTACAGAAAAAGTAAAAAAGACAAGCAAGATAATTAAAGTTTATTGAAAGCAAGCATTATTCAATTTTTTGTCCAATCTTGTTAATCTGAGTAGCAGATTTGATGATAATAATTGGTACTATAACATTCATTGTTAATTTGCTATTCCTGGTTTGAAAATCTGTAACATATGTTACATGTTATATGTTACACTGTCTTTGTATCTGCTATTTTTCTATGTTTCT